ATCGGAGACTCTACTGAAGAGCCTCCAACGAAGTGACAGCTCCGCAGTGAGCACAAATGGCAGTCTTTCCTCGGCTGGAGGCCGCTGGGGAGGTCTTTTCTCTGGTCTTTGGAGCTCTCGTCAAGGCTCATCTACCGAAAGCAGCGAGCCATATTCCTCATCTGAAGCTCGCAGAAGGTCCACCTCTGCGATATCTGGTCCTGCTAGGCGCGGGTCAACCACTTTGACTCAAATGGTCAAGGAAGTCACAGAACATGAGGATGAGCATCGGCCCGAAACAGCTCCTAGTGGAAACATCTCAATTCCAAGTGCTTCTGCTACCGCTCCTCACAACACCGAGCCTGCCTCACCAGAGCCGTCATCACTCACCAGCCAAGTTCGGGAGTCGCCTTTGAAGTTGTCAGTCCGAGCAGAGGAAGGCGTGGTGGATGTTGACCTTCCACTTCCTGGTTTCATGTCACTTTCTTCGTCCGGCGATTCGACTATTGCCTCGCCAAAGAAGACTCGAACCTCCGTCACCAGCATGGATGCAGTTGCTTCTACGCACAGCAGTGGCTCCGGATTTCCTGGTACGATGAAGGATAGCGATGGACCGACTTCCCATGTGGCTGGTTGGTTGAAATCTTTCCACCAAGATTTCTCGCTCCAAGCGGTCCGGCCTTATGCTTCTCTTGAAGCAGAAATCAAACAGGCAATGCGAGCTGAACCCTCCCCGTACATCCCCTCTACATCTGACGTTGACGGATCAGAGAAATGGGTAGATGTTGCAACAACATTGATTGCAGATACCAAGGCTTCTACGGTGAAACGACTCCGCTTGCGACGCAAGATTATAGTCGGCTACAGCTCTGGGGCTCCTCATACACCTCCTTCGCCTGCCGGCGCTACCCCCCGTGGAGGTGCCTCGGCCTCGCAATTCACAAACTTCTTTTCTGGACATGAGAAACCCCCTCACTGCCCCTCTGCCGATGAGCGGGACCAGAGCTTCGTGGAAGAGCGGTTCGTCGAAGAGCCTGTGATGGACCTTGACGGAGTTCTAGTTGATGCTGTCGAGCGTGTCTTGGGACAGAGCGGTTACTCGTCAATGGCACAGTCACGTGCCCCTTCGCCTAACCGCGCTCGTAGAGCCGAAGACAAAGGCCCCTCTTCTAGAGGTGATGAAGTCCCTCCCCCTGAGGTGCCTCGTGGTGAATGCCGCAAGATGGTGCTTGGGGCCCTCGAAGAAGTTGTCCGCCTTGTCACCGCCGAACACTGCCGTGAAGATGTGGACAGCACACTCGGGATTGCTGACCGCGAGCGGAGAAGAGCACTAGCAGGCGCTGATAATACATTGCGTGAAGGAATCCGAAAGTGGCTCCTTGACGTCGAAGAGGTTTGGTGATTCCATTTTACCAAGCTTTGATTTCTTTACATTTGCTGATTGCATATCCATGCATATTGATTGCACTCATGCATTATTCTTTTTTTCATTCCCCTGCCCAATAGTTCGTGATTTGGTCTCGCCTGATACGGTAGCAGACTTGGGCTCTGAGTTTTCTTTTTTTTTTGCTTTTTCTCTTCTTTGCCTTTTTTATTTTTTTTTTCCGGCTTTGCCTCTTGCATTGCGACCTGATTTGAATATGATACCCACCCACTTCATACTGAAGTTTAGTTCTGCCTGTGGGGGCTCTTCCCCTACATTTTTAATATGAATCCTGACCAATCTGACACCAAATGACATACGTTCCATGAAGTTCATTCTCTATTTAATACGGATCTAGGCAACGTAAACCAATTTCACACTGTGACCACTCGCTTCAACCTTTCCATCTTCAGTAGGAGAAACTCGGACAGTCTTCAATATCTCATCTGCCTGAGCCGAGTTGACAATTTCGACCGTAGTCTCAGCCCGCAGACGCCCATTGACCAACAACTCAATTCCCTCCAAGGCATCATCATCAGGGGCCTTGATCGTAGGATTGGTGACAGTAACAGAGCCGGGACGGATCAAAATGGGCATGGTATCAAAGCCGTGAGTCTCCGTGTACCAACGACCGGACTCATAAGACTTGGAATGATCAAACCACGAGATCCATTTCCCAGCCTCATCATCAGGAGACCGAGGAACATAGAAAGTAACCTCACCCTCCTCGGTAAACACCGGCGCAACCAGCAAATTGGGGCCAAACAGATACTGTGTATCAATAGCATATGTGTTAAGATCCTCAGGGAACTCCAAGAAAAGCGGCCTCATAAGCGGCGTGCCGTTTTGATGTCCCTTAAGCGCTTCTTGCAGAATATAAGGAGTAAGCAAGATCTTGCGCTTAACGCAGTCCCGCAGCACATCGGAGCAATCCTCTCCATAGATCCACGGCACACGGAATGAAGACGATCCATGCAGACGCGAGTGCGTAGACAGCAGACCAAATTGCACCCAGCGCTTGTACAGCGCTGGTGGTGGTGTACCCTCGAAGCCACCGATATCAGACGCCCAGAAGATATATCCAGACAGCATCAAGCTAAGTCCGCCGCGCAGCGACTCAGCCATAGCCTCGAACGTACTCTCACAGTCACCGCCCCAGTGAACTGGGTATGCTTGTCCGCCTGGTGCGGTACTGCGCGCGAAGAGGAGACCCTGGTTGCGTCCGACGCGGTTGCTGAGTGTCTCATACACGGTCTTGTTGTAGAGAAGGGCGTAGTAGTTGTGCATGCGCTCGGGGTCGGCGCCATTGTGATATTGGACGCCTTTAACTGGGATGCGCTCGGCAAAGTCGGTCTTGAAGCTGTCGACGCCCATCTCTGCTAGTCGCTCTAGGTGCGCGTTGTACCACTTGCTGGCGGCGGGATTCGTGAAGTCCACGATTGCCATGCCGGCTTGCCACAAGTCCCATTGCCACACTGAGCCATCGGTGCGCTATGAATTGTTAGTGGGGTTCTTTTCTTCTGGTATCATTCTCTTGTGTGCTAACATACCTTGATGAAGTATCCGTTCTTCTTGCCCTCTGCAAACAGTGGTGATGCCTGGGCGATGTACGGGTTGATCCAGACACTGATGCGGAGACCGCGCTCCTTAAGACGCTTGAGGTATCCCAGCGCATCTGGGAACATCTCCGAGTCGAAGTCGAAGTCGCACCACTGATAGGACTTCATCCAGAAGCAATCGAAATGGAAGACGCCGAGGGGGATATCGCGGTCACGGAACCCATCAAGGAATCCAGTGACGGTCTCTTCGTCGTAGTTGGTTGTGAAACCTTTGAAACAAAGTCAGTTTCTTTTATTCATCACATAGCAAATTATATCTCGAACTCACTAGTAGTAAGCCAGAGGTTATAACTCCACGATGGAACCAAGGCTGGCCGGCCGGTCAAAGCAGTGTACCGGTTGAGAATGTCCTTTGGCGTAGCTCCATACACAACAAAGTACTCAATCTCCTCGCCAGGCACAGAGATATTGACGCGAGTAGTGCGCTCAGACTGTACCTCCAGACTAACCTTGCCAGGATGATTGACGAAAACACCATATCCCTTGGAGCTGATATAGAAGGGGATATTCTTGTAGGCCAACTCGGAAGAGGTACCGCCATCCTCATTCCAGATATCGACCGTCTGTCCGTTCTTGACCAGAGGCCCGAACCGCTCTCCAAGACCGTAGACCTTCTCACCAACGCCGAGGTCAAGGCCCGCGAGCATATATCCCTGACGCTCGGCATACATGCCGTCCTCATAGCGATGTTTTTCAGTGCGCTGGTCGCGCACGTATCCGATAGAGCGGAAGGATTGACCAGTCAGCTTCTTACCGGCTGGAGACTGGAATTCTAGGGCCAGTTCATTGGCGGAGGTGTTTAGAGCCAGGTTGAGTGACCCGCTTGTGTAGTTAAGTTTCTTTTCGGCCTTGTCGTGCTGGATCTTGGTGTGTCCGGTGGTCTTGTTCAGGTGGTAGTGAGGACCGTTGTCGTTTTGGCCCGCCCTGGATGCTGTTAGTGGTTGCAAACATCAAACTTGAGAGCTCCGGTTTGAGCCCTTGGGGTAGTTACCAGTGAACAAGCTTCACGCCGATAATTCCCTCTACCGGTGAGGTGAGCGTCGCGGAGACAGTCGCTGTATACTTTTGTTAACCTTTGAATTTCTATATCAAGGGAGGATTGAAAGCGCACGCGAATTGAGAGTGTGCCCTCGGTGTGCCTGGAACTTGTTCAACAGTAGATTGACCGAGTCGTCTTCAATTGAAAACCGCTCCACGTTGCTCATCCACTCGATGTTGACGCCTTCCTATATGGTCCGACTCTGTGTCAGTATTCATTCCATGCCAACTTTATTAACCAGAAGGGATTGGAATTACCCGCAGGAGCCACATCCCGTCGGTGAACCTCATCTTGAGAGAAAAGGCAGGTAATCCCACTTGAGTTCCTTCTCCTTGGAATCAGTTCTGTATAAGCTACCCCAGAGATATCTGGTGGCTATCTCTCAGCTTGGGATAGAAGAAAAAAGTAGAATAGAACAAGGAAGTGAATGATAGAGAGGGCAGTCAAGCTCTTTTTGTTTTACGTCGGTACGCCATGGGGAAGCTAGACTTGCTTCATTCGACACGGTGTATCGTCCGCGATGGCCTGATTCTGAATAGCGCATTCGCCAGCAGTAGAGCTCCGCTATTTTCTGGAGCTCGGGGTAGCACATAAGGCGGGGCTAAAACCTCGGGGATTTGGGGATGCCGTTGGATTGGGATATTGACCAACCAGAGCGTGTGGTTAAAATGGCGGCTGAATGGTTGATATCAGGCTAAAATGCTTGGTGGCTTGCTTTAGCCTGGATGAGGGGCTATATTCATATGAAAGACTGGATAGGTTTTTACTCCCCCCAAATCAATATCGAAATTTGTAAAATCTGTACGGAACTACGCGGGTTCGAATAAAATAAAGTGACTTTTGTTTTTCACACACAAAAAAAAAAGACAATAATGTAGCTAATATCGTATTCCACTTGGGTACAAAATCATCAGAGCGTCAAATGGGTATCTTCGAATGGTTAGATCAAGGGTCGTAAGCTGCCACTCCTAGGGCTTGCATTGTAGCTGAGACTTTCCCCTCGAGCCCTGGCCCGTGTAACTTCCGGTGACATCAGTCCCTCACGCGACTCACGGGTGATCCGGGATGGTAATCCTGGCGGCGGTGATATGTGATGACTGACTACGCTCGCAGGAAGCTCAAGCGACGGGATCGATGCATCCATTACATTTGTGGTAGTCGATTCCACCTTCGTAGATGACGGCCGAGCATGTGACTCCGAGTAGAACTGTTCTAGTTGGACTGCATCGCCGCAGAACTCGGCTAGGGCGTTAAGAACGTTTTCCGGTGCGCGGTATAGGTTCGCCGAGTCGATGCTTGCTGATCCGGATGGGGTAAGTGGGCTGCCGATACTGCCAATGTCATGAACGGGCCGGGCAATTGGAGAAAGCCGGGGTGAGACACGGTCAAGCCCGTCGTGATTTGCCGCACGGCCCCGGAAGTCGGACCGATTGTGGCTCTCAAAACGGCCTACGTCTCGAGTCACGGCGCTGCGGGTACTCACCAGCCGATTGGCAAGGAGGAGGAAATCGCCCTCGTCGGTGATCTGCGCGAGAATGCTTCCAGTTCGGTGGATAAATTGCGGGTAAATGTAATCGGGCTTTCCCCAGGAGTAGGATACTTCAACGTCTGCGGGGAATGCAGAGGCGGCTTCGAAGTCCAGTACAAAATCAAACTTCCGTAATATGGCTTTCTGGTAGTACAGGCGATCCGGCGGACCAGGTTGCGCAAACGACGCATTGTTGAACACTGTGTGCAGTGGTCCCTTGGGTGGCGGGACCTTGAGTTTGATTTTGTAGGGTTTCCGGAATGGCTGCGTCTTGTCGATAGCACATGCTTCGGCGATCGGCACCTGTACTAATTTCAGCCCGAATTTGTCGGCAGTCGAGGCCCAAGAAAGCACGGTATCTTCAATCAACTTGGGAGTTGTGCTCATCCAGCTGAGTTCGATATGGAAGCAATTCTCGGGGTTATGTAGTCGGTCCCAGTGGAGATCAATCACTTCCGGCCGATTCGATCGCTTGCGTGGATCAACATCGAATTTCATAGATTTGGACAGCATGATTGCGACCTTGTTCTTCGCTTTGGAGGGAGTGTTGGGGGTTTGTGGTATACGCTCGTCGATGCTGTCTGATCGAGCTTTGAGACTGGCGGGAGAGTCCTTGGCAGTCCCAATGGCGGGTGTTGATGGCATCGATTTGTCTGGTCTCAGTTGAGGGAACCAGCTTCCCCGGGACTCTGGGCGAGTGACACGATAATCGGCACAGACTTGATAGAAATAGTTGCCATCTCGGAAATTGTGTCTCTTCTCCACGTGTTGGAACAACCCATGATCGATTAACTCGTTGCCAAATTTGACTGCTTGTTCACGGGTATCGATATCACGTATGTTTTGCAACAGCCAGGTTGTGAATTCAAATCCGATAAAGCAATTGTAGTGCAACCTCCAATGCCACCGTCGGTCCATCATCCGGACACCCTTTTCGCCTTGGATAATTTGCGCTAATGACATAAGACTGATGCTGGATCTGTCCAACAGTTCTGACTCGGGTAGGAGCTGAGCAGGGGCATTGTCGAGCCCTGGATCTGTAAGCAGCAAACGGTCCAGCTCTGCTGTAACAATCTCAGATGGATTGCGCGTTTGGTACATGATGTTCAAAGGATTCTGATCTCGCTTAGGATTCGACTTCTCGAAAAGCTTTTCCTCGGGCGAAACGTATTTGTACCGTTGCCAGATATGGGTTAGTTGGCTGATCCCAAGCAAATGAATTTCTTCCTCATTATCCTCATGGGAAGTCTGCAAATTTCGCCGAGAATTGGCATGGAGTTGGAGCGGAATCAAGACGTAACGGACTCGCCAGAAATGCAGCTGCTGGGCCGGGTTTTGGAGATAATCTCGATGACCAGCCACATAATTATCGGCATAGTTCCAGTTGTATTCTTCGGAAGTTGGATCCAGCTTGATATTCTTCACTTCATATTCGGCGCTCAATATTGTTTTCATCGCCGGTTGATATAGAGTAAAGGTAGGCTTCTTGGGAGAAGTGATTACCGCAGAGTTTTGATGCGTAAAGCGGGTCACTTCAACTTCTCCCCCTTGGATGCAGACAAGGCGGTGGATCGTGTTGCCCTTGGATAGAAACAATGTGAGCCCATCGCGCTCTAGACCTCGGAAGTCGAAGACGTTCAAGGATTCAAGGCCGGGCTGCGCGGAAACTTCGGCTACATGCTTTCCAATGATGATTTGGAAGCCATGAGAAAGCCGTAGCGAGATCATTTCTCGTAGAAGTACTCCGCGTGTCTTTGGTGCGTCAATGCCTTCAGAATCTTCATTTGGAAAGACACGATATGGTGTCTGTAGATAGTCCGAAGCAAGCTCACTGGCTGTTGGGAATTCCTCCGTCGTCAATGGAAGCACTGCAGGAGACTTTAAGCTCTTCCACTTTACGACCGCCACATGTGGAGGGCGAGGATACGCATGTTGCCAACGGCCAAACCAACTAGTATCCCGCAGCACATCTTTAGGGGTATTGCATGGATTGACAGATCGGACCCATGGAGACAAGGCTTTGCTTGGGGAGTTGCGCATATGTAGCTCACGCGGACTATGGTTCAGAGTGATTTCGATCTTGTGATCGTTCGGATGATCTTCAGCATGGTCCCGACCGACTTCATTCGCTGGCGTTTCCACCAACAGTGATCCATGGGGGCCCACCTGCTCTGGCGTTTCGGATTCCTTTGATGGATTTTTGGGGGCATTTTGATGGAGATCGGCTTAGCGGGAGTCTGGGAAGGCTTGGAGGGTGTTGACGACGGCGAAAGTATCTCGAAGACTGACGTAGTCGATGCTGTCTCTGACGGGCTTAAAGAAGTAATGCTCCTTGCATCGGAAATTGATGCGGCAGGAGTTCTTTGGTTTGTCATGGGCATGGCACTGGCATGTTCCACATTGACCCCTGTGCTTGCCACGGCTCTAGGTGGAGTAGCGCTTAAGCCTCGAAGCGCAAAGCTAATCGTCCGGGAAATCCGTGAGGCCATTGGCGCTGGCGCCTTTTTTAACGCTGGTTTGATGGGGGACATGCTATTGCCCGAGCTTGGGCTTCTTGGTGTGGTCATATTCGAGTCAATTCTTCGAGGCCCAGAGTGCAGAGAATCATTCTCGTCCGCTGGATTCGTTTCATGATGGCGGAGGCGCGTGATGGAGCGAGCAGATAACCGTTCATGCACTCCGCCCCCAGCAGCCTGGACTTCTGATTCACTGGGTCGCTTTGCCTTGAGCGCTTTGGTGGCCTGGCGTCGTTTCGGAGAGACGGTGAAAATGTTTTCATCGTATTGGTCCATCCAAGACATCACTGCCTTGCGTGAACTCTGCGTATCTTGAGTTTTCGACTCATTTTGGCCGGCCGCGTTTTGAATAAAGGATCCCGGGCGGAGACTATCGCTAAGTTGCCCTTTGAAAGATGAAGGATTCGCGAAACGGGTTTTAGGAGGAGCACGACCACTTGAACTGTAACCGGGCCAAGATCCACCTGGTCTTGTTACACCGCGGCCTTCAGTAAGGTAAGGGATTGTGATGTTTGCTTGTTCACTTTCCATGACCCCCATCATTTGGATCTCATACATACGCACTCGTGGCGTGAACGCCTTTGAAGGCCGAGTGACAGTAAGAGAGATGGGCGCATTGGGGTCCTTTTTCAAGATTCGCCGGGCCTCTCGGTATGTTTCAGGGTTCCAATAGGAGATGTCAAGCCAATGAGGAATACCAAAGCTCCAGTCTTTGGCTTGAGGTGTTGCCCGTTCCCTCATTCTAGTTGCAGACAGGTATGAGCTTGGAGAAAGATATGATGATCTGCTCACAATGCTGGAAAGGGAATGATGGATGTCAGAAGACATCATGTCCCTGTTAACTCTGCTGGATCCAGGCCCTCCCGAATCCCCAGGATGTTCCACTGGCTCCCGGTATTTGAAGAGTGGGACAGAATGAAGAGGCATCGGACTCAAACAGACCAAGTCAATCGCTATGCCTCGGTTCGCAAGGGCTTCTGTTGTAGAAGCTAAGGATTCGTAAGAGACCTCGAAAACGCCGCTACCAGGGGTGATGACAATGATCGAGGTACCAGTGTGGACCATGTCTCGATCGATATGATCGAAAGCCAGGTGAGCAGAGGCGAGATGAATGGCCTCTAGGATGTTTCCTCGTAGAGCCGAACTTGGGTGTCCGGCAATGGTGGCTATATTTGGCTTGGAAGAGCTCTTGATACCACTGCTAGATACAGCATCAATGTCGTCCAGTTTCAAGATTGACACATCTCGCAAAAAGGTCCTGAATTCCCTTTTGAGTTCGTCTAGGATGGTTGTCCAATAGCCACTTGCCATATCATTTACTACCACACGGTAGAAATCTCGAGTCGGAACTTTGTTCGGCCCAGACTTGCTGTTGAAGTTCCCAGCACTAAATTTAGGTTGACTTGAATGGGTGGGCCTATCATACTCGACTCGGGTGAACAGCACAATGGTCACCAAATGTTTTGCATCCGAACTAGCCCATCTCTTGAAGAGCTCCGGTAGGAAACCATTGATAACCCGACTGAAGAGGATGTCACCAGTTCCCTCCGCGTCGAAGTTCCACATTTCTTTCGACATTTGGATGAATAGGACATATTTGGCGGACTCGCTTCGGAAAATAGGGATCGTTTTTGGCGAGAAATATCCCGAAAGGCATTTCTTCTCTCGGATAAAGATGTTCTTGACAGTGGCTTTGATGCTCCCCATAAACATGATCTTTTGTCCTTTGTATATGATTTTATCTGATAATTCCGACATGACTAGTCTCCACATGTCCGATCGGACCATGTATTGATCGCGAAAGGCGATGTCGACATGAGATGCCGCACATTGCTCTCGATCCACAATCGACAATAGAACCTGTGTTCTATTTTTGAAACCAAATATGTTGGCAATGTTGTTTGTCACTGAAATTTCTAATTGAGGGTTCCGAGCCTTGGTTTCTGGTGGTAAGGCCTTCACCACAAATAGACAGCGGTTTTGAAGTGGAGTCTTGAATTTCGAGGTGTTATCCGCTTGAGACGCCGAGTTGAGTTCGGCATGACTCTCGCGACCAGCCTTCGACGCCGCATCGGGCTTTAAGGTAGAATAACCAGTATCGCCAGATACCCGCATAGGCAGGATCTCGACAACGTCACCAACTTGCACCTCAGTTTCGCCGAAAGCCGTTGGATTCAACAAAATTTCTTCACGTGAAAACGTCTCATCATGCACCCAAAGCGTGCATTGATGTCGTGTCCAGCTTGCCGAGGATAGCCTGACGGTCCGGTCATCTGTAGCTTGGTCGTGGTCGTGGCCATGGTTCGAGGTCTCCAGTGAGTGGGTGGAGCTGCTCTCCAAGCTCGCCGCGCTCACTTGCCTCAAGTGCGACCGCCGCATGGGCCCACGCAAAGACATTTCTTTATGCCTTTATGCTTGCATTTCACTGCAATTAGTCAATTCAAATATCAGAATACGTTCATAAGTTCTTGCGAGAGATAACCTTTGCAAAGGGGAGATACCAAGATCACGTGAACAAACTTGGTCACATGATATTTATGCCTAAGGCAAAATATACACCTCAATCCATGACGCATACAATAACAGCCGTTGATTTCTAGGTATCATATGAATTGAATCAATGAACTTGATGGATAATAAGTTCTTTGCTCTCCCGAAAATCCATTAGGAAATAATGTCGAAAATGGTTGAATTCTGGGGGAAAACTAGTTCTGAGCCCTAAACCGCATGTTTCTAGAGTTAGCACTGTGTATAAAACAACCACGGATGCACGACTGTTCCAGCCGACAGAGTGGCACATATTTTGCTCCCCAACTATAGGCATGAAAAATTGAAACTTGATTTTATAGCCTACACTATGATGGGTAGATTATCTCTCGGGTTGAGCTGGATTCATAACAATAGTCAGTTGTAGAACCGAACAATCCGCTGAGACCGATAAAGTCAACAAAGAAAAACAAATCCTGTGACTATGACCTTTGAAGATCTCTTTTATGCCCTTTTGTACCGGTAGCTTTTGCCTTGGGAAATTTGACAATTCGACCATAATATGTTGAGACCAGTGTCGGCTTACATGTCAGCAGAGGGCTTGGAAGGGGTGCCTGGCAGATCAGGCTATAACCCAGGATGGGGAACAGATCGTTTGCAGATAGTTTTGGAAGCTTGTCTCCCCTAATACAACTCTCTCCTCTCTCTGCCCTCTCGCCTTGTAGGCTCAACATAACATCATCATCATAACCCGGTCAAGTGTATGTATGCCCGGGCGGCATTGAGCAGACAGAAGTGAAAAAAGCAGAAGAAGATTCTTGGAAAAAAGAAAGTCCAGCGAGCATCGTATATATAAATGTTGTATAGTAGCATATATCAGTAGCAAAAAGTATGATTGCGCCGCGCACGGTGCAGGTTGTGATTATTGTAGGTGCGACTGAGCCCACCGATTGTACTCTGTAGACTCAAATGCTCTGCCTTTTGGGGTCAGCAATTGTATAACAAATCAAGTCATTCGTTTTGTAATCACATAGACACGCACACGAAACCCTCCGGAAGTGGAATACCTAGCACGACACCCCTCTCAGTGCAATCTTGACCAAAGAGGCAAATTTAAACCCCCAATCTCCTTCTTTGGTGTTTGGCATGGTTCTCCGCCTGCATCAAAGAGGAATGGAAAGCTTATCTCGTGAGTTTGGGTGTACTCCGTGCTTGGTCGTGGTTCCCTTGAGCAGGGTAAGACATGGCTTAATTTCCGTAATCCACAGGATTTTCCATGGCGCAATTGATAGGCTGGGATCGACAATTCGAATTTTGCCTGAATTACAGGGGCGGAAAAGCTGCACAGGCGATGTTGATCTCTTCTATGGGACCCTAATTGGTTCGGATGCCATTCGGAGTTGGTTTCCGGGTTGCCCCCCCGAGTCTTTGTTTATCGCCTCCGCCTAATTTGAACGACACCTCTTGTTACCCCTAACACCGAGCTTGAGGGAATTTTTTTTTTCTCAATTCGTCTCTGGGATTTCCCTAAAAGAATGACTCTGAATGATGGCCAGCGAATTTGCATATGTTGCACTCACAGGAAAAGCAAGAGCAACGGGCGCATTGCTCCCAAGTCCATCCCTATCCTCACATATTAAAGCACCTTGAGGGGCCAGAATTATAACTGCTAGTACCCGCTGAAAATGTCTGGTGTATATTTCATACTCGATGGTCAAAGTTGGTCGTTGAGGCTTAGTTCATGCACCGATGCACTGTCACGGAGGCTGACAGTACCGTGAAACCCTGGGGATCAAAGCTTAGCGCCTCGAAATTAACCGAAATCACGAGGCGCGATCAACGATTAATCTCGAAACCTTTCTTATGGAAGTGAGGAAGTCCATTTTTCGTTCTGGTTTGATTTCGGTGATAATGATGATGAGGATGGCCATTTCCTTGCATCGGAGCCCTCTCGGTGTGATCTAATCAGGTGGTGGGCCAACCTTGGTTCGACAGTATCACAGAATTGCTCATGCTTCATGCCATCAACATGTCCCCGGGGCTTGGGGTCACTCCTATAGCCTCGTGGCTCGTTAAAACTGTATAGCACAGCTGCAATGGGGTGTAAACACCAAGACCGTTGCTTTCGTTCACGTTTGTGTCATCTGTCTTGGCTGGTTTAAATGCTCATTGCAGAGTTTCGGTTCTCGAAATGCCTCGCAGATCATTATCGCGTATTACTAGAAACTCGAGCATTGCAGCCAGAAAAAGGGCTATGGTTGGGCGAAGACTTCTTGATGAGCATTGTCCAACTATAGACAGGTCCGGTCCTTTGGGCCCGTGCCATAATTTTACCACCAGAGTTAGCATCACCGTTGATAACGCATAGGATGAGTGCCCTCTTCTCTTCCCTCGAAGGCCTATCGCGTTCTTGGATTACTCTCTTCGCTGCAATGCCGCAGACATCCGACTGCTGATTATCTACCGTAGGATTCCACAATCACACACGACCCGCCGACTCGTTGGTATACAAGAGTTCCGGAAATCCAGCAAAAGTCACAGCAATCAATAAGGTCATGATTATTTGTCGTCTTGTTTGCCTCTGGGGTATAATGAGCGTGTCGACATTGGTGGGTCTTCTGTTTTGCTGGCGAACGAGTACCAACCCACCGAAACCGAGGCAAGTCAGAAGGGCAAGAAGACTATTTGATTGAAAGAAAAGCATTGACATTTTACCTAGTCATGCCTTGTTACAAGCTTCAGTTTTTTTCCGGGGGTTTGAAAGCACAGCAACGATCCTCTTGCAAACTGTCCCAAGAGCCCTGAAGGGAGAGGAGATCCGACGGATAGTCTTGCTGCCGGTGGTATCTGGTTCTGATCACCAAGACAATGTTGCCTCGTGAAATAGATTCATGATATATCCCGCCAGGTCCTCGAACAAAGATGGTCGTTTGAATGCCAAGCTATCATCGATATTTGGAATACGGGTGATTCTCGGACCGAAAGAGGGCGATACGACTCAGAACGTTCCACGTCACTGACCTGTCCCTAGTACAGGGAGAGAGTCAATCTCTCGTGGCATATCGGCGAGCAGGTTTCATATGGAAATTCTATCCTGGGTGCTTCAAGGCTTGTACAGACCACATAGGCCAATGTTCCTGCGATACAGCACAGCCATATCCACAGGAAAGGTTTACAATGACCATCCTCATGCGTTCAAAAATACCAAATTGCAGAGCAAAGCGCTTATTTTCTTTAGCGCTACTCTTAGTGGCAACCCGGCAAAGACCTCCAGCATACCAGAGAGCTCCATTTCGGTTGAAACCCCACTTGTGAATACCCACAGGAGGGGGATCTACTATGTTGTACTTTGTACTTGGTATTTTTTTTTTTTTTTTTTTTGACTTTTCGTTTTTTTATTATTAAACTCTTGTGCAAGGGGGATAATTCTTTCTCAGTTCTGCTAGTGTGGCTTATGAGTGTTCCGCTAGCGTCTCACGTCGCGTCTGGCGACAAAACCCTTGATCGTATCCTTCCTATGATCAAATCCTTTCGAAGATTATATCAACAATATGAGTGAGAACTTTGGTACTCCGTATTCCGAATATCCGAACGTGGAAAATGAAATCAATTATGACTGGGCCGTGCCTGGATACCCGCAACCTTCTCCTTTCGAGTTCAATACCGAAAATATCCCTCTTCATGATATCCGTGATAACCGTGATATCCGTGATTATCTTTCAAACGACCGCGTGAATGCTAAGGTGGCTATCCCCCGGAACGCACAACCCAGTAGTTGGACTAGCAGTGGTCGAGTCAGTCGGGCTTGTGAAAATTGCCGTGAACACAAGGCCAAATGTAGTGGCCATCGTCCAACCTGTCATCGATGCCTAGATGCCGGTGTCCCGTGCTCCTATGGCGATCGGAAAAGGGAAAAGATGGTGAAGTTGGTAACCCTTTCGCTTAGTTTTCCAGTACTTTTTTTTTCTCTAACAGGTAATAGGCAGTTGAACGATCTAACCACACGGGTTGAAACCTTTGATGCCTTGCTCCGCGGTCTTTATCCCAAACTCGATGCCTCGTCGGCCCAACAGGTCGATCAAACATTGAGGGAGCTAAATGCACGCACTCCGCTCACCCAAGTCAATCCCTCTACCCCTATCCTTGCCTTATTCACCAACCCATCAAGCCCCATCAACCAACCAGTGCTTTCTTCCCGTACAGATGCTAGTCCTATATCTATTCCCTCAGGTACTGTAGACTACACTGAAGAGGACTTCAACCGTGATGAGAAAGCACAGGCGACGGGATTTGTGGGTGAACATTCGGAGATGGTATGGTTGTACAGACTCAAACGCGACCTTGACCATAAAAGTTTGAAAGGACTCAAAAAGACCACCGAACTTCCTTCCATCTCTTCTGTGAACTACTTCCAAAACGACTCGGAAATTTTGTTTCTGGACGATATCGACCTCGCCCATCGGCCTCCACAACAAATCGCTAATAAGCTCGTTGAGACCTACTTTCACGTCGTCCATCCTACTTTTCCGATTATTGGAAAAGCAATATTTCTAAACCAGTACCGATCCTTCTACGCGAATCCGAACGTGCGACCTGGGAAACGATGGATTATAGTGTTGAACCTGGTGTTTGCCATTGCGACCAGACATGCCTTCCTTGCCGATCAACCCCAACCGAATTGCGATGACCATCAGATTTATTTTGCACGGGCATGGAGGCTAAATGTAGGTAGCGTGTTGCTCCATCATCCCGACTTGCAACAGGCACAGGTGGAGGGCTTGGCTACTTTTTACCTCCTATCTGTTGGCCAAGTTAACAGGTTGGTCTTTCCTTTTCAGCCCTTATCTATTTCTTTGTGATTTATATCTGACCTGTCGGACTTCTTCATCTAGATCATGGAGACTCATTGGACTTGCAATTCGATCGGCGGTGACCATGGGTCTCAACATTCGAAGCGAGAGCGAGAGCATCACCCACTCTTCGAAAAAACTTCGATATCGGGTTTGGTGGGCGCTCTTTACGTTGGATATTATGCTATGTGAGATGACAGGCCGTCCACCTGGCACGGGGAGATCTTTTGCTCTACGCCCCTCCCTGTGCCCTTCGCAGAAGAGGATTTCTGGGATAAGCGTGTTGCGCAAGTTATTACCGACCAAAGGACTCGAAATGCCTTCTTCGCCTCTTTAATCTCCGATACCGTGACGGCTTCACCAGAAGAGAGTACAACTTTAAGGATACCGGAACGACATGGAGCAGACAAGGGGAAACAAGAAGAAAGGGCCAGCCAGACGGGCGCAGAGAATCTGACACCCAACTCTTCTCTGTACTTTTTGTATGCAGTGGACTTAGCTCATATCTTACGGGAGGCGATTAATACTCTGTATGCTCCTAGAGCAATACGGCAGTCATGGCATGATATCGAAACCGCCATTCCCACGCTAAACAACCATGCTGACAACTGGCTGTCTCGTCTCCCGGCGGAGTTTAATTTCACAATGCTAGACACAACTCATCAATTTCTACAGCAGCGTGCTGGTCTTGCTTTTCGATTCTACGCTACTAAGCTGATAATCTTGCAACCCTGTATCCAGCGTCTATTTCAACAATCTGAACCAAGCTCCCCGGGAACAGTGTGTGATCAGATGGCATCCTTGTGTGTTCAGATAGCAGGTCAAATGCTCGAACTGTTGCCCAAGGAGCCAGACTCGACTTGGCTGTATGGCGTCGCTCCATGGTGGTGCATCCTGCATAATATCATGCAATCGACTACCATTCTCCTCACCGAGCTCCTCACTCGCACCCATGTAGGCACCACCAAGGCTGTTGGTATCACTAAGAAGATCAACAAGGCAACTCGCTTCTTGAAAGTGATGTCATCCAAAGACCTTTCTTCCAAGCGAGCCTGGCTTATCTGCATGGACCTTCTTTCACGACATGGATCGAAGTTTGGGTTCGATGTTGACGTGGAAACCGAACTCTAAGCGCTCGGGTTCTTCAACGTGCCTCATATCTCATGTAGTTATGGAAGTTTGATTAATACCCTGACTTGATTGGCGAGGGAAGCGGCCTTGGGCGATGCATTTGCTTTTGCCTGCTGGTTTTAATGACATATAAGATGCAACTCATTCTATCTATCATGCGTCCCTTGTCATGTTGGAAATACGTGTTCATCTGACGTCTCAATTATGATTTCAGTTTATCTTCGTCAATACGCTTCTTTAAGTTGGCTGTGTCTTATCACAACAGTCTTGTATATTTTCATAGTATTGTGTCCTGCATTTGCTCACAAAAATACCATCTTTGAGTATTAGAGTGTCGAGTCGCTCAGCTTAAAGCAGAACAACTAGGTCTAGAACGTGCATATACTTATCGATGACTCATTCGCCCTGATTAATCCCGGTCAAAACTCATGGCATGTATATAGATTCTCTGCCTCGTTGAAGAATGTATCAACAGGGTGCAACAGCCCAAGATCGATATCTGACTGCGCCAGGAAATCCTGCATGGTCGGCTCTAGAAACGCCATTTCGGTCGTGTACCCGCCGACGGTATCCCTCAAGGGATAGGTATATGTATCGATGTCATAGTTGTGGACAGTCTGGGTGGCAGAAGAAGCAAGGACATCATGTGTTGTGGGTATTAACGACGGTGGAGGTATAGATGCCGACACCGATGCCGATGTAGATGTGGGCGGATTCAGCGGCAAAGTGTTCAAAAAAGGAGTAGTAGCCGTTGCCAAATCGGATGAAGGCCCAGACAAAGCTAGCGCACCAGTGCCAGAGCGAGCATTACCACTAGCATTAGCGTTGTTATTAGGTACCACTCCTCCACCAGCAGCCACATCAGCACTCCCCTCACCCCGCCTCAAACCCCGATACGCAGCCAAACAAACCTTCACCTGCTCGAGGTTATGGTAGAATTCCGCGGCAGCTAGATTCCCATTCTCGGTCATGGAGCGTAGTAGATCTAGTGCGGAGTCAAATCCGGTCATATCAGTCGGGTTGCCGATCGGAACAAAGCTGGACATTGCCAAGATCAACGCGGAGGAAAAGAGGTAGTGGGCGTGGAAATAGCCGAAGGTCGGCATGGATCCGTTGATCCACCGTGTCAGGATCATGGAATGGGAGTGCCGTGCTGCATGGATACATGCTTCGCTCAGAGTGAGAACGGGCTGGGAAACAGATAGCTCTTCGCCTTCGGCTTCAGCCCCGGCCCCACCGGTATTATTGGTGGTATCGGGCCGGGGTTTGCTTTTTTTGCTTAGTGTCATTAGGAGGTGCAGTAGCGTTGGCCGCGTAGTTAGGATCACGCATTGGTTGAAGGACAGATGGAGGGAGACGATGGGTTTCTTGCTCGATTCCAGGTCTTCCATGTTCAGTCTCAGGGATTCGGGGAGTGTTTCTACCCAGTGTTTCAGGGCTTTGAGGATTTTCTGAACGCGCTGTAGGAAGGTCTCTTGGTATTTTCGCCGGCTGTATAGTTTGGTGATTGTCTCGCCGACTATGCGTGCCAGCTTGATGTTGGCGGTCATGTAGTCTGAGTCGGAGAGTTCCTCTTCGTGGCGCCAGCGTGGAGAGATGGTTGAAGGCATGTCGACATGGATATCATCATCGAGGATTTGCATTGGGAGGCCCATTTTGGATCCCCACATCCGGTCGAAGATGTAAATTGTCCACCATATTTGGATCCGGTGTTGGCGCTCCACTGGGTCGATGACCTGTGATTCTAGGATATTGTGATTCAAGCCGATTGTCAGCCCCATCCGCATGGCATTTCCGATCAGCACGTACGCCGAATGACGCCGGTTGAGATAGTATGAGAAAAGAGACTTGGGATATGGTAAGTACTGTGATGTCCAACAATAGTACATGCTGAGCCACATACCAACAACAGCAGGGTTTCCAAGTGTGTAACACTAGTTCTCTCCGGTAGGATCTGGACCAATCCCATTGATCGAGCAAAGTACGATGTGCCCGGTACCCTAGAGCCGGAATTGGGCTCAGACCGGATTGAATAGGCCTGGCCAAAAGCGAACAAGGCGAAGAATTTACACTTGTTAGCCGCGCAGTCAAAGTCTTGTGTCCTGTAGATCTCTTCTAGCTTATCTAACGTTGACTTGCGCATCATGAGGTGGTATAGATGCCCAATCTGGTGGATCGCTATTCGAACCAACAACCGAGCATGGTGGAGACTCGGCCACTGGATATCGGATTCATTCGCCGTGGCGATTGTCTCTTCGCGCTCATACTGAGTTCGTGGAATATGTGGCATTGCACTATTGCCTGACAAGAAACGTCGGAAGCGTGTTGCGAATGCTGAACATGCTGCCTCGCCGATGTAGATGGGTGGCGAGGAGGGATCATACCGGTGGAACCAGGCACGATCTCCAATCAATGGATTTTGAATTTCTGTTCCATCAGGAGCATCCGCTGCCCTGGAAGGGACTCTGTTTTACGTCTCAGCATGTTGCGGGTCATCTTTGGGAAGTCAAAGGATGTCTACCTCTGCGCCGGGTCGTTGATCTCGGCAACTTGAGCCGAGCTGATCGACCGTTCCTTGAGCCGCTGATTCTCGGCGAGGAGCTGATCTAAATAGCTAATTGGAGAAGACAGTTTTAGCCTCTGGCCCGACAAGTGCAATAGACAAGCTTTTTATAAGGCTTGGTCTAATAATAGGATGCGGCTTAATCGCATACTTCTCGCTAACTTTCACCTGTCGATCCCGAGTAGCATAGCTACATTCATCAGCGAGTCCGACTGTACAGCATTTCCTACACGGCTGATCTCCAGAACACTTGATTTTATGCGAGTGGCATCTTCGGCAGCTGTTGATACCATACGTCAGTGCTCGGTGGCTTCGGCGTGAGGTATATGCAGGTGGAATACGCACGCAACAAATTTCCTTTTTTGAGACTCCCGACCTTCCTGCTCTTGCTCTTCTGTTGGGGCACATCTTTTTCGCGCCATCTGATACTCCCCCTCTTCTCGCTATCATCGGGCTTTTCAGATTGTGCAAAAAAAGAAAATCGCCGGATGCGGTCGGAGAATTGAAGTTCTTTGCCGATCATTCGGTGATTTAGGAGTTTGGCCGATGTATAGCTGACTAATCAATTTGCTGGTGCCCACCTGGGCACCCAGGCAGCAACCTTGAAGGCCCAACCTTGAAAGTGTGCCCAGACGAGCCTAATATGCTGTATACCTGCATTAAGTAGGAACGAAGAAAGTGTATTTGAATGTCTTGAAGCTGATTTCTCGAGTCTCTATATGTTTAAATCTATGTATTATATTCTAGGAAATCATTGAGCCATGTCTGTCTATCGCGATCTATATAAGCTAACTCTATCATGCAGGCATTTCATATCGCCTCGTATGCAAAAACATAAATCAATCAAAGTGAAAAAAAAGCGTCATTTTGTTGCGGTCAAGACTTCGCATCAAGGCTGAACTTCCTTTCAGACCATCGCTGCATATCAATGCCCCATTTTGTGATAGCAAGCACAAGGAAGCCTCCTATTATAGCGAAGAATACGCCTGAATAATCGTTAGATATGTCCCATTCATGATCTCGTCAAGAGAACTCACAGATTGTAAATGTCCACCCTACCCCGATAGCGCTGATTAACGGCTCAACGACCGCTGTCGCTCCGGCAGCAAAGATATACTGCACTACATACTTTGCGCTGATGACCTCCGAACGAACATGTGGTATAGCCTCTGCAAGATATATGGTTAGCTCGGGGTACTTGCATATCAAATAGATAGCACTCACCAGCCGTATAAGTATTCAGTCCATTGAAAGAACCCATAAGCCCTACGCCTGCAAAGAAAGCGGCGATAATTGGCACAACCATACCTCCCACTTCTTCCTCTAAGGTCCAGCCGTAGATTAATGTTGCAATCGGGAGGACCCCAAAAAGAGTGGCAATACCACTGTTCAATCGGTCCTGAGGCAGGCGCACCCCGTTTCGTTTGATAATCCATTTCTTCACGGCGCGGTCGGATAGCTTGCCACCGACCACACTACCGACCAGAAAGCCTATTCCCGGGGAGAGGTAGAATAGGCCGCTGATGAGGGGAGACGTCAGGTTGAAACGTGGATTGAAGATTGAGCGGGCTGATGTGAGAATTGTGTATTGGAACGTGGCAAGGAGACCACATGTGAGGCACTGTTGCTTGTTAGTCAATCACTTGACAAGGTACAACCCCAGTACTGGAAGATGATGCTTACTGCAAAAAAGACATTGGGATACACAAAGTGACGGAAGACGCGCATTGGGTTGAACATGCCCATAACAGTGCAAAACTTCAAGGGTTTCTCGGAGTCCCGTTTCTTTTCCTGGATACTTGGCACAAAAAGAAAAGACAAGATGAGGCCGAGTAAAGTCATCGCGAATTGAAGCCAGTAGATAATGCGCCATTGAGCAAATGTGACGATGATTCCGCCAATACAGGGTCCTAATTAAACAATTAGCCACTTGGGTCCGACGACACCCATAGAAATAGTGACAATTTAAACATACCGATTGCAGGCCCACTCACAGATCCAACCATAAAGCAGCCGACGGCCGTTCCACGCACAGTCTATCAATCCCGGTAAGTAACCGGCAAACAATCGGAATGAAACTGACATACCGGTTCAAAGATATCCGCAAGAATAGTTTGCCCAGCAACCATGAAGAAGGTACCTGTAAAGCCTCCCAAAATGCGCATTGCGATAAACATATGCAAATTGATCGCCGCGGCGGTACCAGCCGAGCATGCACAAAGCACAAGTATAGCTGCATTATAGGCATTGCGACGCCCGAATAGGTTGGTGATAGGACCCCAAATAAAAGACGAAAAGCCCATGGCAATTAGAACACCAGCATTGGTAACATTGAGAATCTCCGATGTAGTAGAAAACTCGGTAGCGATCTCCGGGGTTGCGGGCAATAGTGAGGTACTGGAGAATGTGACAGCCAGTGTCATCCAGCTAACGATAAAAAGGATGAGGCATTTTCGCCATGTCGGGATACCATAGGCGTTTGAGAGCTGCGGTTTTAGGGCCAGGCCGTCTTCTGATTCCGAGTCGTGGGGAGAATCGACCTGTGGGGTTGGTTTTTGGGACTCAAGGTCTGGTCTGGATTCCATGATTAGGTATTGAGGGGGATTAGATGGTATATTGTGGATGTAAAAGGTTGATTGATGATTTCCTCATGTCTAAAGTAGTAAAATGATGTACACAGAAAATAATTTAACAGGATTCGGTGGACATTTTGTATGAAAAGACCCCTCGGCGTGTTGAGGTTGTCGCCGAAGCCTGGTTTTTTTGCGCGTGGAGCTTTTTCCTCCGATGTGGATCGATCGGATAGGGCAATCGGCTTCGGTGGCCGACATCTGTATTTTGCATATGAAGTTGTGAGTCACGTCAAATCGATCGGGCATAACGAGATAATGAGATAACAGGGGCAATGCCAATGATTGCGACTGTGTGAGGCTGAAGTTCATCTGCCATTTCGGGTTTTGATCCCTGAAATATCAGGCGTTAATTTTTTCCCCTGTCCACCTCAGCACCGATTCAACAACACACAAATTCAAGACAGTCTTCAATACAATTGCTCATAATCTGTTCTAGATGCAGAATATGTTGGGGAACATTCTCATGCTTTATAGACTTGCTCCATGTTACGCACCAAACAGCCCACAACTGACCCCAGGGCCAAGCTGACGCGTCCCCATGCAAGCTTTCCCCTGCTCGTACAAGAAGATCGGCGAAGAGCTTGGCAAAATTAAAGCTTGCAAGCTAGCCCGCCAAGATATCTTGTGTCGCACAGCTGTAAAAAAAAGGGGAGACACCAACGCAACAGCGCAAGGGATAGCAAAAAGACACACCCCAGCTCTTGGGAGAGGCCCTTGATCACTAGCCCTAGAGACACAATATACTGACATAATATAAGTCAGCTATGGACCACCAGGAAGTAAAAGAAGCCGAAGCATCCCCTTCCTTCTTACCCCCAATGGAAAAGCACCATACAGCTCACCTTGTCTTGGTCCCCCGGCCTAGTGCTGACCCCCGTGACCCTCTGGTATGACAGTAGACCCTCGAACATCATTCGTTGAAACCGAACTGATCAAATCCTTCCAGAACTGGCCTATCATTCGCAAATATGTACTACTGGCCGTGTTATGCCTCGCATCTTTCTCCGGTGCCATCGCGCCCTTATCGGGACAGCTTAATCTGGCTGATCAGGAGAAACTGTACAACAAGACGAAGCTGGAAGAGTCATATGCGGTAAGTCTACAACTTCACTTTCTTCGAGACTCTAAACTCTGCACGGTTATCAAATCGAGTTATCACCCATCTAACATCCACTAGAATTCAGCCGCCCTAGCTGGCATGGCTGCGGGCCCATTCTTCTTTGCCCCGATATCTCACATGCTCGGTCGCAGCTCTGTGATCTTCTGGTGTGTGCTATTTACGCTAGTATGCCAGATCTGGGGCGCCGTCATGACCGACCCTAGTAACTATATTCCATATGTGATCTCCCGGCTCTTTGCTGGCTTCTTCGGTGCCGTGCCTACGGTGCTTGGCCCTCGCATCGTAACCGATATGTTTTTCTTGCATCAGCGTGGCCGCGCTTTTACTGCGCTGCACATGGCGTTTTTGTTCGGAACGATTGCCGGTCCGACATTCTCGGGTTTTGTTTCTGCGCACTCTTTTTTCCCCGTTGAGTTCTGGTGGACAGTCGGTCTGCTGGGATTCACGCTTATCTGTTGCTTCTGTTTCCTCGAAGAAACTGGATTCGATCGTGAATGCTTTGAAAGGAACCCAGATGTTCCAACTGGAATTCTGGCCAATAGATTCGCTACTTTCTTCTTCGGGCAGAGGGTTGTCTTGCCGACTACCTGGAAAGAAACGGTATGTACATGGAAAGCCCGATGCTGTGTCCCATATCATAAAAAAATGGGTTCGATCTAACATTAGTCGAACAGGTCAAAGTTGGAATCACCCCATTTCTAATTGGAATGTGTCCGGTGACGATCATCATGGGAATATTCACACTCATCTCCTTTGGATTTTACGTGGGCGTCAACGCACTCACGCCGGTATGGCTCCAGAAACCCATCTCCGAAGGTGGCTACGGGTTCTCATTGGAGCAAAATGCGGCATTCACATTCTGCCATTGGATTGGCATCATTGTCGTCCAATTCTACGGTCACTATCTGAACGACTGGCTGCCTCTGGCACTGGCACGACGGTACAACGGCGGTGTCTGGAAGCCCGAGTATCGACTGCATGTCCTATGGCTTCCTAGTCTTGTGGTCAACCCTATTGGCCTAGGGATCTTTGGTGCCGCTTTGCAATATCATTTGCACTATATGGTTCTCGCGCTGGCTGTTTTTATTGTGACTATTGGGTCGCTGGCCAGTGTTCCGGTCACAGTGAATTATGTTGTCGAGTGCTTTACGCGGTATCCAGCTGAGGCAGGTATTGTTATTGGTGCTTATCGCATTGTCTATGGATTGACTATTAGTTTCTACATCAATCCTTGGGTTGAGGCTGTTGATGTTGGCTGGGTTTATGGTATGATGGCTTTCTTTGCAGTTTTTTCCTACATGTTTGTTATGTTGCTCATGTGGAAGGGACATGCTATTCGCAACATTCAATTTTCGAGTCTTGGATCTAGCGAGGAGGGTGAACAGTTGGTAGGTAAATAGCTGAACTACTAGGTAGGCTGGGGGGTCGGAACGGGCCACTATGCTTCACTTGGTAGTGCGATCGTTGATTCGCCATGGCACATATAATCAACAGTCTATACTCAAAATTCAGAGCCTTGCAAATATACTAATAAAATCAAAGCCATTGGGAGAAGATATTTTGAATGAATGGGTATAGACGAGAGAAAAATGTTCTGACCAGACGAGAGGATATGGGGAACAAATAAGCAGACATTAGACAAAAATACCTCCCCCACAGTATATCGAAGTGAGAAGCTGAGACTGTAAGATCAAATAATTCCAAGTCACCTCCCACCTCTCACCCCTCGCCTCTGTTTCTCTCTTTCCTTCTTTCATCTCTTCCATCCACTATATTGTGACAGTGCGACAGCACCTTCGACTCAACAGGGTATCCGTGTTATCTTCTTAGTCTACCACAATATGGAAGTCATCAAAGAAGCCTTTGCAAAATGCAAGGCCAAAAACCGCGCTGCCTTGATCACCTACGTGACAGCTGGCTATCCCACTGTTGGCGAAACACCGGACATCATGATTTCCATGCAGGCCGGAGGTGCAGGTATGTATTGTTTACTCCTCCCGTCTTTTGTGACATGTACCATCCCATATTCAATACCAGCTAATTATAACCCCTAATCAGACATCATCGAACTTGGGATTTCCTTCGCCGGCCACCCCATGACTGAAACCCCAATCATCCAGCAGGCCAATGCCAAGGCTCTCGAGAACGGCGTGCAACTTTCATACATCCTACAGATGGTCAAGTCAGCCCGTAAACGAGGTCTGGCTATCCCCGTTCTGCTGGTGGGGTACTACAACCCCGTGCGTGAATACCCGTACGGAGAGGATAAGCTACTTCGAGACTGCAAGGCTGCTGGTGTAGACGGGCTCATCATTGTCGACCTTTCTCCCGAAGACGCGGTGCGGTCCGGTGACCTGTGCAAATCCAAAGGGTCTGTATATCCATCTTTCAGGCTTACATTTGCATTTGGCTAATCCAGATCCCAGACTATCGTATATCCCCTCGTTGATCCTTCTACCCGGAATGCTCATATGGAGATGCTTTGCAATATCGCTAACTCATTTGTTTGTATTGTATCTAGTATGGGAGTTAGCGGAACTCATGAGAAGCCGTATGGGAGTACGGGGGATCTGGTCCATCATGTGCATGATTGCACTGGGAACTCAATCCCAGTAGCTGTCGGATGCGGTCTCAACACCCGACAAGATTTTATTGATATTTCTCGTGTCGCTGAAGGAGTCGTCATCGGCTGCCCAATCGTCCACGTACAGGGAAATGCAGCTCCTGGAACTGGTGCTCAGACGGTCAAGGAGTATTGTCTTCGAGTTGCTGGACGCACTGAGAATCAAATTGTCATACCAGAAAGAAAGCAAGCTAACCAACCCATGTCTTCCACTACGGTCTATCTTTGCTATGATGGCGCAGGTGATACACCCGAAGACACCGACATAGTCACCAATCTCAGAGACACATACACTAGCTTGAGAAACTTCGGCGGTCAATACATCCCAGGATCCCTCACGGAAGGCCTCACAGAGCTAGAAAATGGCTTCAACACAGCAAATGCAGACCCAGCCTTCTGGGCCGAAATCAACTCCTACGCAGCATACGCCAACCGACCCTCTCCCCTCCACCTAGCTTCACGCCTATCAGTATACGCAGGCGGAGCAAACATCTGGCTGAAACGCGAAGACCTTAACCACACAGGTAGTCACAAGATCAACAACGCGCTAGGCCAAATCCTTCTCGCACGACGACTCGGCAAAACCTCCATAATCGCCGAAACAGGCGTTGGCCAACACGGCATCGCGACAGCAACTCTATGCGCACAATTCGGCATGAAATGCACCGTTTTTATGGGATCCGAGGACTTTGAACGCGAGACTTTGGCTGTTATGCACATGCGCATCCTCGGCGCCGTGATTATCCCCGTTGATGCCACATACGACGGCGGAAAGGGTACCATCCGCGACGCAGTCAATGAGGCCTTCCGTGTCTGGAGGGAGGAGCTGCAGACCACGCATTTTGTTATCGGCTCGACATTTGGTCCGCATCCGTATCCGACTATCGTGCGCACGTTCCAGACTATCATTGGCACCGAGACTCGAGCTCAGTTCACTGCGATAAATGGTGGTAGACTGCCTGATGCGGTTGTTGCTTGTGTTGGTGGTGGATCGAATGCTGCTGGTCTGTTCTACCCCTTCCTTGATGATTCATCTGTTGCTCTTATTGGCGTTGAGGGGGGTCGTGGGTGCATGGCGGGTCCGAGTGAGGAGTCCATTGGTATCGTGCACGGGTTGCCCACTTTTTTACCTTGGCACGAGGATGGAGAGAATGGCAAAACACATTTTGTCTCTGCTGGGCTTGACTATCCTGGTATTGGACCTGAGTTGGCGAGTTGGAGGGAGTCTGGTCGGATTGTCATTTCTCCGACAACTGATGCGGAGGTCCTGAGGGGATTTTCGTTGCTCAGTCAGCGTGAGGGAGTAATGCCTGCGCTTGAGAGTTCTCATGCTGTTGCTGGGGCTGTGCGTGCTGCGAAGGAGTTGGGGCCTGGGCACAATGTTGTTGTTTGCCTTAGCGGACGGGGGGACAAGGATGTGGAAACTGTGGCTCATATTTTGTCTGCTATCAGGGTTGATGATGCCTAAAGGTTTCTGTTGACTAGGTGGAACAGAATTGTGAATTGAAGTCTGAATTCTGAAATCTTTTGACCTTTCCCTGATTGAGGTTGATCGTTGAAAATAACTACCATGTCCGATACAAAATGAAAAACTGTTGAGAATTGTGAGAAGACGAGCCATCGTAATAGTAGATGGAGATAATCCAGGGTTCAGTACAAAGTACCACGTCAGGTAGGAAGATCATTTTCTTCCCAGACTCTGAACTTAAGAAACGCGATAGACATGTTTAGCATGAGAGTAACACCTTAGCGCCTGAACAAATACTAATTGGTCAATGGTTGAACTGACGATGTGCGGTCATTCTATTCCGCGCTTCAATATTTGAATATTGCTGTATCTATATCACTATACATATGAATTGCTATTTCTTGACCTGATTAAATTCTGACATCACATTTTAGCCTCGCTCCTTCCCTACCATTGCTTTCCATGTAGTCTACAAAACAATTCCATGCGCGCATGTAGGAACTTCACATTCAAATAATTTTGAAACGTACTACACGATCAAAATGTCGTTTTATACTGTTTCTTTTATCTCCTTTTTTTCCCGCGTGCTGGCCGGTAAGTTTGGACTCCTTTTGGGGCTTCTTTTGGGAACTCTTTCTGACATGTTTGATAGCGCCGATACGAAAAGGCGCCGGTAACGACAATGAAAGTTAGGTCGGAAAGCTAATTCGTTTGGCCTCTAAGAAAAGCCCACAAACCATGGCCTCCATCATGCTTACAGTGGTGGGAGGGATGCTGCTGTACTAATTTAGGCGGCAGCTCGTCTACCTGTTTTGTTGGGCTGTTCGGCAGGAGATTTCGAGGTATGTTACCTGGTCGCTATGTGAGATTAGTTGGAATAGCACGTTGGCATATGATGTAGGCGACGGTAGGGCAGCTAGCAGAAGAACAGTAATGGGGTCAGCATAATGGGGGACAGCGGAGGTTTGATCCCTTTATTGATCTCTCTCCGTCTTCTGACATATTTTCTAGATGCGAGGCAATTTCCCACTCTCAAGAAAAGCAAGTTGGAGAAGAGCTGGATGGCTGCCAGAAGTTGACCTTCACATCATTTCAAGGTGAGTTTCGGTCAGGCTGCGCACGACGACGCCATAGTCATGAGCGGGGAATGTGCCCAGGTGGGGGTGTAAGAACGTGGGGGTGTGGGGTGTGGGGGTACTTCCAAACCTTATCGAACCCATTTTCGAAGCGGAGACCTGTGGCCTCGACGAAAGCCTGGATTAATTTTGCACATTCTCAACATTATAGTTAGTAGCTATCTCATAAGTTTGATGTTTCTCGTTTCATTGGTGAATATCCTTCATGTATGTATGGCTCTAAATGTATGTATTTAGCTTTGCTAGATCCGGTAGGATACCGAAAACCTAGTTTTCCGATATGACGGGCGTGGCGTGGTTTGGGGTCACCATCTACGACCGGACAAGTTTCCAAATCGGGAAGATACGGTATGCCGACTAAAGCCGACATAGCCCCTCGTTTATTTCCATTAACCGACCACCCTTATATTCTCGGTGGCAAGCGACATTACCTTGCCAAGTTACCTCTACTATCGTTCACAATGACCAGAATATCCAAAGATGAACACCCTACCCGGGCCAACAAGTCCCAGAATGGGGAGGCACTCTCAATGGAATCACTCAAAAGCCTTGACGAGTTTGAATCTCTCGCCACAAAGCAAATAAGCAAAAAGGCTTGGTCCTTCAACTACGCGGGCGCTGGAGACCTGATCTCCAAAAGGTTGGACCAAGAGGTCTATCGCTCAATCCTCCTCCGGCCACGCGTCCTCGTCAATGTCAAAGAATGTGACCTGTCGACGACAATCATCGGCGAGAGAGTCGGTCTACCTATCTTCGTATCGCCTATGGCAATGGCCCGGTTAGCCCACCCCACAGGCGAAGCTGGTATTTCAGCCGCGTGTGGAGTGTTCGGTGCCATGCATATGATCTCGAATAATGCATCGATGACTCCCGAGGAGATTGTCGCGGGAGCCACACCTGAGCAGGTGTTTGGATTCCAGCTTTATGTCCAGACGGATCGCACTGAAAGCGAGGCTGTCCTAGCGAGGATCAATAAGCTGCCCGCGATTAAGTGCATTGTCCTCACCGTCGATGAGCCCGTCCAAGGGAAGCACGAGCTCGGGCCGAGAGGATCTGAAATATACGACGATGCGCAGACCGAGGTTTCAACTCAACCAGAAGAGTCATCCCAACCAAGCACAGACGTCAAAGTGGCCATCCCATCGGTCTCCGGGGCGGCTTCTGACGCCGAATGGGAGATTACGTTACAATGGCTCGCGAAACACACCTCGCTACCAATAATCATAAAAGGCATTCAGACCTACGAGGATGCTGAAGTCGCTGCTACGTATGCTCACGTAAAAGGCATTGTCTTGTCGAACCACGGGGGACGTGTCCTTGATACTGCGCCGCCGGCTATTCACACCCTACTCGAAATCCGCAAATACTGCCCAGAGGTTCTAGAGAAGCTGGACGTGATGGTCGATGGGGGTATTCGACGCGGGACAGATGTTGTGAAAGCGCTGTGTCTCGGTGCGAGGGCAGTGGGTATTGGGCGACCGGCGTTCTGGGGTCTTGGTGCCGGTGGTATCGCTGGGGTTGAAAGGACGCTCCAGAGTAAGTGCTTCATTCCCGCATCTATTGTAGGCAGTGTGTGTAGTGATGCTGATTTTTCTTTTTTCTTTTTCAAAAGTTCTAGCACAGGAAACGAGAGCTTGCATGAGTTTGTTAGGTGTGCGGAGAGTCGCAGATCTGGGAATACGCCATGTAAGTCTAAGTTGTCTTTGGTCACACATGTTCTTAGGGCTAACGACTATCTTACAGGTTAATGCGAGAACTGTAGAGCAGCAGATTTATAACACGGATTTGATTTGAAAAGGACTTGAAAAGAAAAGCGACACTAAAGTGTAGCTACAATATATTTCACCTATATTTCGCCGCTCTTCTTCCATCTAAGTATCTGATATAGCCCGTCTAGGTCCATTGAGTACCTCTGTACGTTCCCCAACTAAGTCCAATAAATGTATACAAACTCATCATTCTCCCTATCCGTCAAATCCATAAACGAACTCCCACCAAGCTGCTCCCCGCCCCTATTTTCATCCGGCGCATAGTTCTGCATAGACATAATATATAAACTAATCGAATACATTATGCAGAATCTAAAGGCACTTTTCAGATCAACAAATAATTTCAGTCACTGCTGGCAGAGTAGAATATTGGCGAACTAGATTCAGGCCCGATCTTTTTCTATTTCCTTCGATTGATTCGTCGTCTTGCTTTCCTTCTGGTCTTCATTTACCTATCGATGAATCATACCGCTAATTATATTTCTCTCTACCATTCTCTCCCTTTCCCTATTTTTCTTCCCCTTAGAAAAGCCTACGAGCAAAGCTATATCCCACTCTTACTTCCCCCAAGTCCTAAGATTTGATTCCTACCTCTACCCCATCAACTAACTGTGTTCTGTTTGACTGTAACTACTTATATCTACCTCTTGGACTAGCGTCCAGGGTTTCCTGCAAAGAAGTGACAGCCAAGCTGACAATTGTTTCCCTCAAACGCAATGGGATGAGCTCTGTCAAATTAATTCAGGTCTTGCTAGCCATATAGAGTGCGTGACATTAGATTAGGCTGCTAGCGGGGCTCAATAATATTGTGCATTTGCTAGAATTCCCCGACATGACTCTTATATGTGACTACTAGCCAGAGTGAATTTACTTTGAGATCAAATCTAATCAAGCAAGGCTTCAATGTGAAATAATTAGGTCATCGTCAAACCTTTCTGGTGTCGGAGGTGTAAGTTGACATCACTCTCGATCAATTTTATTAGACCAAGCACAAACCCTCAAGAAACATTCTTCATCCTCAAATTCAGTTGACACGTTCCAACATCCGAGATGCCGATTTCTTTCCCCCGTCGTAAGAAAAAGCCGAGCCGTAATCGAGCACACAGAAAAGCACACGGGGCACTGAGGGGTGATAAAAACCATTGGGAAGTCGGCCTTGAACGATCTGGCGATATAAATAATCTCCAAAGATACCGCTTGCATCAATACTTTGCCGAAGTCAAAAGAGACAACCTTCAGCCTCCTTTTATCTCGTATAAGCTTCTCTTTACAGAGGAAGATATCCGGGAAGTTGTTCAAGAAGAGATATCTATCAAAGAGGGACTTGCCTTGACCAAAGATACTAAAGAGAGACTTGGTATCTTAAATGCTAAATACTGGCTTCTAAAGCAAAAGTGGTGGCATTATTATGCCCGTCTAGAAGATGGGTATCAAAGAAGAGCCTTTGATCTATGGCGGTCGCATCCTAAATGGTATATGCACCGTATACTTGTTGAAGATTGTGCTAGCCGACAAGGATGCTGTGCTCGTGGATGTGGCTGTTGTATTGACCGCAAGATTGATCCTATACGTGGACTTGGAGTCGGACATTGCACTTTTAAATGTGGATGTTGTCGGAGAGCTCGAGGGGTTGATATTTGCGACGAAGAGACAAACGTGTTAAAAGAACAATGGCGCGAGGAAATAAACTATCTTCCTAGGCACCGGATTATGCGAGTTTCAATATGGAGGCTTGTCGGTGATAGCTATGAGAGCCCGTTTGATATGATTGATATACCATGAAGCAAGTTATGGGCAGGTTGCAAAAGATGAGGCTTCTACAAAGAAGAGTGATAAGACTCGCTGACTGAATTCGACCTATGAATATTGCTGTATCTTGATGAATGTACCTACCTGATTAAGCTCTTACATCATACTGCAGGCTCATACCTTCCCTACGAACAATTATAATCTTGTACTTTCCTTGTAAGCTATTGCCCCCTTCCCCTATGTACAAAACGGTTTCGTAGTCCACGTAGGAACTTCACGTTCGCATCATTTCAAAATATGAGTACTGTCAGCAACATGACTCTGTTAATCGTTTTTTTATCTTCTTTTATGGCTCTGCCCTGGCTAGTAAGTTTGGTATCTTTCCAGGTGTCTTCCCAGACCTCTTTCTGACACGTCCTTTTAGCCCACTTCCCCTCGCCCACAGTGGCAACGATGATGGAGTCGTCGTGGAGATTCTGCGCATGGCCGCTGAGAAGGGCGTAGATACCGCCCTCAAAATCGGCGGCGTTATCTTGCTGTTCCTCTTTCTGAGGGACCTGATCGCCTTTTGGTTTTGGTGGGGACGTTCGGAGCTCTCGCGGTATGTCACTTAGTTTCCATATTAGCTCTGTATCAGCAACATTCTGACCGTTGAATCTGTGGTATATTGCCCGAGGATTGCCGGCGCCGCTGGTTGAACCGGGAGGAACTCTGTCTTGGGCAAGGGGACCGCGCCCCAATTATAAATAATTATGATAGGAATGTGGATAGGCAGAGAGGAAACATCGGTCGTCGAAACCATACAACCCGCTAGCTGAGGTTGATGAAATGAATAATATGAGATCCAAGTTCCCCAATGATTCATCAAACCACGAACCAAGAATCGCAAAACAACATTTCCCATCCCCCAAAATGCCTCTCACCTCACAATTTTCCCGTCAATGCCAACCCCTACGAAGACGTTTAATTTAGATCCACTCTCACTTTGCAAGTAGAAACAAATTAACTACATGGTATTACTGGATCGGTAAGTGGGTGAATGGTACCATGGATACCAATCCGACGAAAGCTCAGATCGAGAGATTACTACAACTCTCCCACCAAGCATAGGGCGTCGCCGTTAACCCCCCTCCCCTCCTATAAAATCCTCCCTTTACCGCTTACCATTTCTTCTTGCTGGCGATTCTCAACTGGATTCTCATCCCTAGTCGCGTGATGTTCGCACTTCCGCTTACCATCTGCTCAATTGTACACTGTGCTATTTGACGAGGTAATCAATGGAAGGCCAATTCCGATCATCAACCATACATGGTTATTGGGCCATGAGCGTTTGAGTTGGTTTCTGGGCACTTGAACCAAGTTCATTCAATGCCAAGACAGAGCTAAAATCCGCGAAAATACCGCAGCGTCGTAGCTGTGTGGAATATAATAATGACGACGTTTTCGCAACCTTCTAACGATTAGAGCGTGCCTTTCTGCAGCAGCTCCTCCTTACTTACCAAATATGCCCGTCTGCAGCACTCCGAAACGTTAGGGCCATATTTCGTACTAAATTTTGTAATCATTGGCTAATATGTGTTAGACGAACCCAACAGTCTCTGCCTGTGTTTGAATATGCAGAGATCTTCTTAATAACTACCCGCTTAGTATTCTCGGAATCAAAAACATGAGAATCATTTAACTGCTCAAACCACAACAGCCTAAGCCTATGTCTGACACTAGTATCACATCTGATATATATTTAGGGCCGAGGAGGTTGCGATACATCGTTGAATTGCCGATGGCACTAGGAGGGGTCCATTGCCGAGAGTACCCCTGAATCTCTTGGCGAACGCCGATCACGTCTCCACTTAAAATGAGCTTCCAGTCGACGTAGGAGGCTGGTGCTTAATAGTGTATAGTGGAATCAAAATCTTTTTGCGTCCCTGGATCTCGCTGCCCGGTGGGCCACTAATTCAGTCTCGACACTCCTATTACCTAGGGTGGATTCGTGTGCGACTCGTTGGATCTTGGCTGGGGTCTGTGGGGGAAAAGACTCTGCCTGTGAAATGCTAAGAAAACTCGCTTATTCGGAAACAGGGTGTTGAAACCATGTCATACCTTAGGTGACTACAAGCACTATGCTGATTGGCCACTGCATCAGGGGCTAGGTATATATTGCCTCGCTTATAGGATGGATTCATTTAGATTAAATTTAGATTTAGTTACTCCATGGGTTCATTTAATTTCATCTATTCAGACCTACGACAAGGCTTGCCGATGGAATGAAAGAAGATGAACTAATTAACTCCAAGCCCTCATGGATAATGGATCTGTTAGTCGTATAAATACCTTAGTAACCTCTTCCTCTCTTCTACTCACCAGGAGGTCCATTTGTCCCTTTTTTCAGTCACTCTTTAGCCGATACCATAGTCGCTCTTTACAATGCAATTTCCTTTCGCCCTGTTCACCGCAGCTGCGCTGCTGACCCCTGTCTATTCCAATGGAATCACCCCGATGAGCCGCCGCGAGACTGGCCTCAAGCTCGAATCCTGCACTACCAGCCAACAGGCCGTAGTCGAAGCCGCCGTTCAACGCGCCGCCTCTCTCGCCAAGGCCGCCGCTGACGCCGCTATCAATGGCGACGCTAGTATCTTCGAGGAGTACTTCCGCACCACTGACACCGCATCCCGCCAGGAGGTCGCCGCCCGCTTCGAGGCCATCGCCAACGAGGCCTCTAACCTCAGCAGCGGCATAGTGACCTACAACTGCGGCAATGGCACAACACAGAGCGACTGTGGCGGCAACGGTGTCCTCGCCTACGCTGTCTCTGGCAACAACAAGATCGTCAACTGCCCGGACTGGTATAAGATTGTACCCGCGATCGACGACTGCGGTGGCACTGATCAGGGCCTCGCCATGGTCCACGAGCTCTCGCACATAAACGACGTCTACAGCCCACCCACCCAAGACTTCGCGTACAAGTACAACGCCCTCGTCGAGCTTCCCAAGGAGCAAGCTATCCTGAACGCCGACACCTACAACCTCTACGCTGGTGGTGAGTTTTGCTTTATTCCCCTGCCCATCATGACATGCAACTCGCTAACCGACTTCATCATCCAGCCATTGATCTTGACTGCCAGATTGGTGAGAGCAAGGGCGTTGAACTCCCGGATTGGATGGTCACTGAGATCATAAATAACAACAGTAATTAGATACCTATTTGTACACATCATCGTCTGATTTTGCTAGATAGATGCTATGGGAATTATATATGATTTCTTTTTACTGTCTCATATTAGTTCGTTATCATTAGGTTTTGCTAAATCTAGGGCTTTGTTGCTTTGTGGTGCGGAAAGGAGCAACGGCAAGCCAATTATATTCCTATCCTGGATCCTCAGTATCATTTCTCCAGGAGTAGGTATGCAGGAACCCCGCTTGCGAAAGGCGCCTTCGGCACAACCTGCTCTCACCCAAACCTAACCCAACCCAACCCAAAACCTACTGGGTAACCCATTGGGGCCACCATGTAGTGTGAACCAGCCAAATAGGCTGCTAGCGTGTGACTATAATATATGCATTTTCCAACTCTAATATTAGGATTTCGTCTTCCCAGCTTCCATCATTCGGGAGATATATCTACTCAAAGGAATAAAATACAGACAACAGACCTGGGTACGGTAACTCTACACTAAGTGACAAGTTAGCATAATCGTTCATGGATACTAACAAATAGATAGCTGACAAACCAAAGGTCCATGCCCATGGCGTCCCCAACCGACAAGCACCAACCAGTCAATATCGGGCCCCAAGATTTGGTGCCGTTGGTACAACAGAAGAAACGCCAGGCTTCTAGGCAAAACGTGCAATTGAGTGCGAATAGAAGCGGGGGTTGACAGCCAGCCTTGCACAAGGCAACCTGCTATACCGCCTTGTCAGAATGCCGCTTCGAAGAGGCCAGTCTTACAACTCAACAGTAAGAACTATTGGGATCACCTGATCCTATTTGTCAGGACTGGCAGCTACAAATAGCTTCTTCTCCCTCTTCTTCTCATTTCCCCCTTCAGCAGTCAGTAGCTTCAATGCAGTCAGATTGCCTACTCTCTCTTCTCCTCTTTCCCCATCAAGAACCTCAACAGGAGGCCATCCAAACAGCAGCCAGTTTGACCGCCAAATCGGGGCCCACAAAACAAATATCGAGGCACTCACTGGTAGGACAAGCGCTGGTAGGACAAGCCATTAGGGAATTGGTGGACGAGAACAACTGCTGTGATAGCTACGCCAAGCTGGATGACAAGTTTGCTAACTGTGTCCCGGTGCCCGGAATGGCAGCCTGACCGAGTTGCTACCTATTCTAGTGGTGTTTCAGGTGCAGCTTCGCAAAGGATGCAAAGGAAGGGCAGCAAATCGATCCTAAGGAAGCGAGGCCTCGAAGTCATGCTTGAAGAGATGAGCGACCTTTACGACCTCGAGTGCAAAAAGTTAAAGTAGGGTGAAACTCTTCATCATATCACTATTGAAAAGCATGGTCTGGTATAGGCTATCGTGGAGGAAGACGAAGGGGTTGGATACATTTGAAAATCAATCCCTAGCAGGGACATTGCAAGGAACATATATATACTTCAATCGGATCTTACAAGAACCATTTATACAGCCCAAATATTCGCATTCTATGATCCTTTCCTGCACGTAAAATGATACATACGACCATAGGGTGTGGAAAACAGGGCTTCCCGTCCGCTCAGCCGTACTTAAGCCACACGCCGGTGAGTTAGTAGTTGGGTGGGTGACCACCAGCGAATCCTCACTGTTGTATGTTTTTATTTTTGTTACATTCAGTCTATCTAGTTTTTGCTCTAGAAAGTGGGATGGGATGGGTGTTGGTGTATAAAATAGCAAGAGTAGTCTGCGGCTTATGGCTTTGTGATGTCTTTTTGGTGATTTTTTTAAATGTCTTTCAAGTGTATATAAAGGCGGCGAAAAAAAGCACACTCTGTGCAAGAAACTTTTCTATGTCTAACTTTTGAAAATAGTCGGCTAGCTAATTTTGTCACCTCTGATCCTTGATAGTGACGATGTATGACGTGTATTTAATATTAAGAATCCAACCTCGGGGATTGGTACATAGTCCGGCAACAACCACAGAAGGTCTAACGCTTAAGACTTGGCGCGGATATCAAGATATTAATGACATCCGTCTTATATATTTATCCCATCCTTCGGACGAAAAACATTTAGCCGAGGAACGGCATAAAGTCCAACAACAACACCCGCGGTCCGCACATAACCGACGACTGCACATGTGGATACTAGTATCTCGTCGGTATTTGCTCAGGGCTACAGCAGTGACGTTTACAACGAAATTTAGATTAGGTTTACGTTGAAAAACCCCCAAATGAAGAGTAACAAAAGCAGCCATAAAGGCAGATAAATTGACCCAAGAGAATTGCAGTGTGCAAGACAGACAAGTTCAACGCCTAGGCTATCATAACGCATCTCCAAAAAAAAACATACCTCGACCTTTGAAAGGTCGGAAGAGGATACATAAAAACATAAGAATCGACACGGAGAAAATAGATCAAAGTCGAAAAAACCCGGGCACACTGCCAGGTTTGCTTGCCATCCCAAATTTCGCTCGAAACAAATCAATAAAGAAAAGGAAAACCATTTGACGGTAAATAAATAATCAAACCCGGGTTTCACGGCCACCTTGGCTGGA